GACGCTTATTCAGGTTATAATCAGATCCCTATGGACCCGGCAGATGAAGAAAAAACTTCTTTTGTAACCGAGCGAGGGACATACTGCTACAAAGTTATGCCTTTCAGACTAAAGAACGCGGGAGCAACTTATCAAAGACTTGTTAGCAAAATTTTCAAGGATCAAATAGGAAAAATTGTGGAAGCCTATATTGATGATATGGTGGTAAAGAGTAGGAAGAAGAATGATCATCTGAAACATCTGCAAGATATATTTGATGTGCTGAGGCGATATGGTATGAGGCTCAATCCAACCAAGTGCTCGTTCGGTGTGAGTTCCGGTCAGTTTTTGGGACACGTGGTCAACCGCAGAGGCATCGAAGTTAGCCCCGCTCAAGCAGAGGCTTTGATTAAGAATGCCGAGCCAAAGACGATCAGAGAGGTGCAAGCCCTTACAGGACGAATAGCTGCATTAAGTCGATTCATTTCAAAATTGTCAGACCGCTGCAAGCCGTTCTTTGACACGATTCGGAGTCATGGAAGATAGGTCTGGGGAGATGAGCAACGACAAGCATTGACCTATTTGAAGGAATATATGCAGAATCCACCAGTTCTGTCAGCCCCGGATCCAGAAGAAAAGTTATTTTTGTATCTTGGAGTATCTAGTGTTGCGACAAGTGCCGTTCTGATTCTTTGCAAGGAAGGCGTGCAACACCCGGTATTTTATGTCAGTAAAACAATGACCGAGGTAGAACGAAAATACTCAAAGGCCAAACGGGTGATACTTGCACTGGTAAACGCAAAAAGAAAGTTGAGGCATTATTTCGAATCCCACCCTATAGCTGTTCTAACAACTTTTCCAATCAGAATACTTATGCACAAGCCAGAACTCTCGGCAGAATGACAAAGTGGGCCATAGAGTTAAGTTCATTTGACATAACATATGAGCCGAGAACAGCTGTCAAAGGACAAGCGGTAGCCGATTTTCTGCTAGAATGTGACTCTGAAGATACGGAAGAAGACCTCAGGTGCGGCTCTTGGAAACTTTATGTGGATGGCTCCTCTAACCAGATGGGGGCTGGTATTGGGGTTAAACTGCAAACCCCAGAGGGTACTTCTTTGAGTCAAGCACTCAGACTTGAGTTCCGAGCCACCAATAACGAAGCGGAATACGAGGCGTTGCTGAATGGGTTAAAGTTGGCCAAAGAGCTACAGGTCAGAAGTTTGACTGTTTATAGTGACTCACAGTTGATTGTTCGGCAGGTAAATGGTGAGTACGCGACCAAGGATGACACGATGGGGGCATATCGTTCTGCCGTTCTGCATAAAGCCAAGGACTTTGCAAAGATTGAATTCATACAATTACCGAGGGAACAGAATGCAGATGCGGACCGGTTAGCATGTAGTGTTTCGAGTTCTGGTGAAACATTGGCGAGGGTGATTCCAGTAGGAATATTGACCCAGCCATCTATTTTCGAAGAACCTTTAGACTCAGACCCTTGGTAAGTCAACGTCATACCGTATGAACCGAGTTGGATTGACCCCATCATTACTTATATTCGAGATGGCGTTTTGCCTATGCAAAGGGATAAAGCTAGGAAACTCAAAAAGAATGCTGCAAAGTACGCCACCGTGCATAACCAGCTGTACAGAAGATCCTACTCTGGCCCATACTTGAAGTGTGTCACCCCCGCGGAGTCGCAGCAGGTATTGCGAGCTATTCATGAGGGTGTGTGTGGCAATCATTCTGGGGGAAGATCATTAGCGCATAAAGCAATGACACAAGGGTATTTCTGGCCGAACATGTCTAGAGATGCGGAGGAGTTCTTTCGAAGGTGCGATAAATGCCAACGATATGGACCGTTGATCCACCAACCACCTGAGGAATTGCACGTAATGGCCTCGCCATGGCCTTTCGCGCAATGGGGGATGGATGTGGTCGGTCCTCTGCCAACTGCAAGAGCTCAGAACAAGTATGTGTTACTGGCCACGGATTACTTCACTAAGTGGGTGGAAGTAGAACCATATCCTAGCGTGACTCAGACTCATGTGAGACGATTTATTTGGAACAATATTATTTGTCGTTTCGACGTTCCAAGATCAATAGTCATGGATAATGGCACGAACCTCGACAGCAAGCAAGTAAGAGAGCTGCTGGAGGAGTATGGAATTAACCAGAAGTTGGCTGCAGTAAGTCATCCTCAGGCCAACGGACAAGCAGAAATTACAAACAGAACCATTTTCGCCTGCATTAAGAAGAAGCTGGAGGACCATAAAGGGAAGTGGTTGGATGAGCTCCCGAACGTCTTATGGGCTTACAGAACCACCCCAAGGCGGCCGACTGGGGAGAGCCCGTTTGCAATGGCATATGGTACCGAGGCAGTTATACCGGTTGAGTACTTGGTCCCAACTATCAGAAGCTTAGCATGGAGTCGAGATCAGAACGACAAGATGTTAAGATTGAACCTCGATATGATAGACGAAAGGAGGGACGCTGCAGCAATAACGTTAGTATCATACCAGCAAGTATTGGCGAATAGTCACAACAAAAGAGTGAAACACAGAGACTTTGCCCCTGGCGATCTGGTTCTGAAAAGAAAGGTGGGGATAGTCAAAAAAATGATGCCACCCTGGGAAGGCCTATACAGAATTGCAGAAGTCATAGGCAAGGGAGTATATACGTTGGAAACCATGGCGGGAAGGTTGGTCAGCAAGCCCTGGAATGCCACGTCTCTGAAGAGGTACTACCAATAAAAGCTAAGTTTCGGCTTTATTGGGTGTTGTTTGTTGTCAATCAAGTACGTATGAATGTGTAAATTCCTGAAGTTTATAAAAATAACTTTCCTCTTCAATGGGTTGCTAAAAATAAAAAAATAAAAAAAAAATGAAAAGCCAAGTGGCAAGTGGCATTCTAGCCGAGCGCCAGGCACTTAAGCAAGATAAGTGGCAGCTGGCACCATAAGCCGAACGCCAGACACTTGCTAAAAAATGAAAAACCAAGTGGCAAGTAGCATTCTAGCCGAGCGCCAGGCACTTAAGCAAGATAAGTGGCAGCTGGCACCATAAGCCGAACGCCAGACACTTGCTAAAAAATGAAAAGCCAAGTGGCAAGTGGCATTCTAGCCGAGCGCCAGGCACTTAAGCAAGATAAGTGGCAGCTGGCACCATAAGCCGAACGCCAGACACTTGCTAAAAAATGAAAAGCCAAGTGGCAAGTGGCATTCTAGCCGAGCGCCAGGCACTTAAGCAAGATAAGTGGCAGCTGGCACCATAAGCCGAACGCCAGACACTTGCTAAAAATTTAAAGCTAAGTGGCAAGTGGCATTCTAGCCGAGCGCCAGGCACTTAAGCAAGATAAGTGGCAGCTGGCACCATAAGCCGAACGCCAGACACTTGCTAAAAAAAAAAAAAATGATGAAAAAAGCCAAGTGGCAAGTGGCATTCTAGCCGAGCGCCAGGCACTTGAGTAAGATAAGTGGCAGCTGGCACCGCAAGCCGAACGCCAAGCACTTGCCATAAACAAGCACACGACAAAGTTAATATAAAAGAAAAGAGAGAAAAGGTATATATATATTGAAAATGGGTTTGAACAGAGCGCAACACAAAGGAAAAAGAGAAAAAAGTTCTGTCATCTCATTCATAATAAGCATTGAGTTTACAAAAAATGAAATATTCAAGTCACATTGTTATAAAAAAGTATGGAATCGAAGAGTCCGGAGGAGTCCCCGACAGCATCCTGGTTGTGCCGACCCGCCTCTTCGGTCCCATCAGCCATCTCACCCTCACGAGGTGGGGAATCAAGATGAATAACAGAGTCATTCTGCTGGGGGCCAACGTCAGCAGTGGCTATGGGAGGTACCACAGTTGACGATTGAGGAGCGGTTAGAGGCAGAGCGGTAGGAGGAGCTGTAGTGATCTTTGAGGAAGCAATGTCCTGGCACTCATCAAATATGTGCTCCGCTTCGGTGGGTTCTGGGTCAACATAGACCCCCAGAGGGTCAATCCCTAAATCCTTATCGACCTCATCTGGAGTTGAGCTGGTCTGTCCCTCATCCGGAACTCGGTCGGAGAAACCTTCTCGGAATCCTTGAGCATATCTAAGAGCGCCGACCCTTGAGAACCGAGCATGAAGAGCCAGCATCCCACCGTTCACTCTGCTGATTGTATCAATCAGAGCAGTACGCTCGTCCAGAGCTCTCTTCTCAAATTGTTTCAGACAGATTACAGCTGACAACACGTATTCTATGGCCATTTTCACAACTAAAAAGCATATTGGTCAATTATTATGTTCTCTTTAAAGGAAAAGACATACATACATGCCCAATTGGGATCTTACTAGTGCATACAGTATACTTTCGCATGGTGAACTGCAGCATTTCATTAGTTGGTGTTATGTCACATGCAACCCATTTTATTATGGTAAATTGAATTGTATCCTACATTTCATTAATTTGCTAGATTTTCGAGGTGGATTTAAATTATACTTATACACCGTAATTTTAAGGGTTGGGTGATGATGCAAGTTCGACTACTTGTTAATTGTAGGAGAATATATATATATATATATATATATATATTTTGAGAACTTACATGGTGTAGTTTTCTTAACTAAATAAATAATATTTTTAAATATTATATATTTCATTGTCTAATTAGTTTTTCCTTTAATTGAATCAAATAAATAAAATTTTAAATATTATATATTTGTGTTATTATATATTTTATTCAAATATTATTATATATTTTATTCCCTAATTAGAGTACTTTTATTGAATTTTTAAATTGGAAACCTAATTAGTTATATTAGTAGAAGGAAAAAAAATAAAATTAGTAGAAGGATTTTAAATTAGAAATCCAGTTGAATTAGTAGAAATATTTTAAATTGGAAACTCAATTAGTATTTTATTTTTAGTTAAAATTAAAATTAGTTATTTTAATTAATTAAAATAGTTTTGTATTTTATGATAAGCTGGATATTACTGTGTTGCAGTAGAGATACAAATAAGAGGGAAGGTTAGCGTAATTTGTCCCCAACTTTTTCTTTGCCAAAACACACAACATTTCGGAATAGCTTTGCTTCACTTTCTAAACTTCTTCTGCAATCCTCTAATAAGACCTTGGAACCCTACCACACCTCAGAGCCGTACCACACCAAAAATGTCTGAACCCAAAAACCCTCCGGTGGACTCCGTGACGGAGGACCTACAAGAAGGCAGTCAAAGCAAGAAAGCCGCCAAGAAAGAAGCGGCTAAACTGGAGAAGCAGCGCCGCCGCGAGCAACACGCCTCCTCAGCCTCCTCCGCCTTGGCCGGTGTCTCCTTGGACGCGCCTGACCCTCTCGCCGCCAATTACGGCGACGTCCCTCTGGAGGACCTCCAGTCGAAGGCGGTCACCGGCCGTAAATGGACCGAGATCGGGTCGCTGACGGAGGACTTGAAGGACCAGAGCGTGTTGATTCGGGGCCGAGCGCATACTATCCGGGCCGTGAGTAAGAAGATCGCCTTCTTGGTGGTGAGAGAGAGAGGGTTCACCGTTCAGTGCGTGTTGACTGCTGCGGCGGACCTCGTCAGCGGCCAAATGGTGAAGTTTGCGACTAGTCTTAGCAAGGAGTCGTTTGTTGATGTTGAAGGGATCGTCTCGGTTCCCGGAGTTCATATTAAGAGCGCTTCTCAGCAGGTATTCATGTATAGACATGCATATATCGTATTCATATGTTCATAGATAATTTTATTTTAGCCTGAGCAACAATTTTGGCCTATGGTAATTGCGTACAGAGGCAAGAAATTTATACTCTCATTTTTGTCCTCTAGGGGATTCGAACCCTCCTCTCACATAGATACTACTAGACACTTTTGGTGGTGAATTATGAAGTGTTTTAAAAAACGCAACAAACTATTGACATTGCTTCAAACTTGATGATGAAATTAGTTAAAAACTGATCTTGGTGCTTGCGTTAGATCCCAAATGCATCTTTGTCTTAGCTCTATTGTAGGGCTTTAATTTTAGTTGTTTTTCTTTTTTCAGGGAACTGTATAGAAGACACAAATCACACAACAAAGACGAATCAATTAGGGCATTCTGTTCAATTCTAGTTACTATTATTCTTTGTCTTTACAATTATATAATTGTTTCAATATCTCTTTTTTATGTTGAATTTTGATTGGAGTTGCGAATTTACTGTGTGATACGACCCCTTAAGTATCTAATGTTAAATTTGTCTCTTAGGATTGATGTAGGACTGATGGGTTAGGCTAAGCACGTTAGGAAGTTTGAGGATGGAATTAAAGAATGAAGATTAATTAATGTTTATTATTATTATTATTGTGATTATATCCTATATGTCCTATTATTATTGTGATTATATCATTGATTATATTCAAATTTAGAGCCAATGCAACTCCTATTATTTTCTTCTTATAATTTGAGATCTCCTTGACATTATGCATTGTATGCATTGTGAAGAACGTATATAGTGTAAGCGTCAACCCTTGGAGAGTGAGACTATGAGAACTCTTAACGATTCAGTTGTCACATATAACTTGAGTATCAAATTTGATAAATGCAATCCTGTAGCTTTAGCTACTGGGCCATGTTGATTTTTCGGCTGAAAACCATCTAAATAGCCACCCGAATCGGCATTACAATAGCCAACTAAGCACAAATTTGAACCCTGATAACATAGCATGTAATCTGCAGTCTTATTGAATGGGAGATCCAAATTGCATAATTTATTCTTATATATTTGACAAACCCTAAAATAAATTAAAGAGAGAAGCGGCAGAACCTTTTTTGAGTTACAAATACTGTGATTGATAAATACATATGCACTTTTGATTGATCAATAAGATAATTATTGAACTCAATTTATCTGAAGGGATAATTAACACAGTAATTCTATTTCTAATATTTATTTTATATTTTGTGTGTGGTTCTAAATTTGGTTCTTGACAATTACAGTTGGGAAAATATTCTGAATTTGATTCATAGTGGTTTAGAAAGTATAAATTGGGTATCCTGGAGAAGATATGTTTGTCAAAGAGTTGAACAGTGATTTTTTCGTGTTGTCAAAGAGTGGAACAATGAAAGTACGGCATAGGCCATTGGGCAGTTGCCGGATCGGTCGCTCAAGATCTTTGGTCTCTATCCGGACCCGATTAAACAAAGCTGTGTCATTGTATTAAGCTTAGGGGGACCCATTGCTTTGGATAAACAAAGCTGTGTCATTGTATTAAGCTTAGGGGGACCCATTGCTTTGGACAAGCAAGCTTTGTTGTGTCAGAAAGCGGATTATGGGCTAAGTATATAGAAACTACATGTGGCTATATTACAATTTTATAGCTAATTCAAGAATTTTGTGGGTAAATTATACTCAATATTTTGAGCCTTTTGGATGTAAAAATGAAGGAAGAAATTTGGATGATACAGTCTAAATGAGTTTGGGGTTTTGAGAGTTTGTTTTGACATTAATAGTTCAGAATAAATAATTGATTTTTTGAATGAATTCGCAGTTATTGACAACATTTGTTATATATGGCACTACTTTGAGATTTTTATTATAATATATGGGAAATATTTGGTATTTTTGGTTAATAAGTTGTTTGGAAGTAACTTTGAAATTGCGTCTTAATTTTAATGATTCAAAGAATTTATATTTTCTGCTGTAGGTGGAAGTCCAGGTGAGAAAACTTTATTGTGTTGGCAAGGCACTGCCGGCGCTACCTATTAATATTGAGGACGCTGGTCGCAGTGAAATTTTTATTGAAAAGGCTTTACAGGTACCTGTAATTCTATTGATACTTTTAATGTTGCTTGTAATGAAATTCAAATAGCTTATCACTCTGTATGCAGTTGTATTCTGGTTGATATTGAGAATGTGTCCTCATTTTGCAGAATGAGCTTCCAGCAATTATCTATACTTTTTTGTCATTTGATAAAATCAATTAATCTACCTTCTATAGGAAAGTGCGTAACTGCGTATATTAATTTTGGTAATTTGGTATCATGATTGGTGCAGGCTGGAGAACAGGTTGTTCGTGTCAATCAGGACACTCGTTTAAACTTTAGGGTTCTTGACCTGCGGACACCTGCTAACCAAGGGATTTTCCGCATCCAGTGCCAAGTTGAAAATGTAAGTTCACATCCTTTGGTTTGAATATTCTATTTTCATCTTCCCATTTGTGTTCATTGCAAGATGCAGTATAGTTTCTTGGAGACCATTGATTGTTAGAAAAGGGAATAAGTAAAACACTTGATATTCTTAGAAAAGGATTTGTGGATTATATATGTTAAAGAATGTTTTCGTGAAGGACGAACAAATGCAACACCAGTTACACTAATATTTTGATATGTCACTAGCTGTTAGCCTTGCTAGAAGATACAACTTTAGGAATCCATCATAAATGGGGAAGGGCATTATGTTGAGTTCCATTTCGCAAAACTACCTATACCATATTTGATGTAAGAGCTGCTGTCATTCTTAGCATCAGTGTTTAAGAATATGCTAGTTTTCTATCCCTTTTGCTAATTCCAGTTTCTAATTAGACTAGAGGTTTTCTAACCAAATGGGCCTACTTGATATGCTAAATGCCTGAGGAGTTTTAGTGGACTTTGAGAATAGTTCTTTTTTATATGCAACCTTGATGCAACTTTTCATCCTTTCTTATTCCTTTTTTTCATATATTTTTATTTGTTTTGCAATATCTATAGTATATACTTATTTTTGCTAGAAAGTAGATGAGATGACCGCATCTTTAGTATAATATATGTATTTATTACAATTAGTATTAGTACTGAGATTATTCTTATTATGAACTTGGGTCACCTGTTCAGTGGAGTACTTATTACTATTCGTATTAGTGCTGAGATTATTCTTACTGCGAACTTGGGGCACCTATTTAGTGGAGTAGCCATTGTGTATTTATTTCTTTTTATTCAATTTGGGGTTGTCTCCTTTTTCATTTTCTTTTTTAACTAATTTTTACTATATTGCATAGTATACTTACTACTAATCTTATGAAAAACTGAAGAATCTGGTCCTTAATTATCGTGTACTGTTGTCCAGGTATTTAGGCAGTTTTTGCTGTCTGAAGGTTTTGTTGGGATCCATACACCAAAGCTTATAGCTGGTTCTAGTGAAGGTGGTTCAGCTGTTTTCAAACTGGACTACAAAGGGCAACCTGCATGTCTGGCGCAGTCACCTCAGCTTCACAAGCAAATGGCAATTTGTGGTGATTTCGGGCGTGTTTTTGAGATTGGTCCAGTTTTCAGGGCAGAGGATTCCTATACACACAGACATTTGTGCGAGTTTACAGGTCTTGATGCTGAAATGGAGATTAAGGAGCACTATTCCGAGGTAAATTTGAATGATTGGCTTCAGTTGGTGTAGGGACCAGCAATTAGCTATAAAATTATCTGTGCGTTAGTAAAAAATTGTGCTTATGTTTACAGGTGATGGATATTGTGGACCGCTTATTTGTTGCAATGTTTGACCATTTGAATGAGAAATGCCAGAAAGAGCTTGAGACTATAGGGAATCAGTATCCATTTGAGCCTTTGAAGGTTAATTACATTGATTTCTGCTATTGTTGAAACACTGATTCATTTTGTGGTAAAGCAAACTTTGATGTATTAATGTCCTCATTTATTAAAAAACTCTTTCAAAACGCAACATCTTTCAAACACTGATTTTTGAATTTTGAAAACCCAATAACAGTTTATCTTGTTCTGATGCTGAATATTAACTGTGTTTGAATTTGCAGTACTTGAGGAAGACTCTACGGCTTACATTTCAAGAAGGGGTTCAAATGCTGAAGGTATGCAGATATTTTTTGTATTAATTTTACCTGAATAGAGTTGGAAAGTCAATAAGATGAAAGTGGGTATGACATTAAAAAGCTGTTGCAGCTAGTTATTCCTCTTTTTTTTCTATAATTTTTTTTTCCCTTTTTTAGTTTCTTGGATGCATGTTGTGCCTCTTAATATTCAAACCATTCAGTACCTACCTGCTTTTTGGTTTTTGTTTCCATTTTTCGTTGTGTCATAATATAACTAAAGTTGTAGCATGAAGCAAAAGGAGATTTGTGTCGTAGATATACGACTCAGCAACATCTTCTGTTTTTAAGTTTCCTTTGGGACCTAATTACACTCATCTCACATGGACGTGTGGCATTTTGTTTCTTGAAAATATTCCTTTCTCTTATTCTTATAAGACTTGGTTGCACAGGATGCTGGTGTTGAAGTTGATCCTCTTGGTGACCTGAACACAGAATCTGAGAGAAAACTGGGCCAGCTTGTTGCGGAGAAGTATTTTGAAATCTCTAAACTTTAATTTTGCCTCCTTTTTTATTTTTATTTTTTGTTTCTTATATCCTAATTTTTCCATGGTAACTAATCTGGAATGAGCTGATTTTTCTTTTAGGTATGGCACTGAATTCTATATTCTTCATCGCTATCCTTTGGCTGTTCGACCATTCTATACTATGCCTTGCTTTGATGATCCAGCCTATAGTAATTCATTTGATGTCTTTATTCGAGGTATGCAATAAAATTTAACCGTTATGAATGCATTAATAGTTGAAAACATTTTGTATGTGTAATTTTGGTTTTATTTTATTTACTTTTTGTTGATTAAATCACCTGTTCCTTCTAAAGGAGCTTCTTTGATTCAATCTTATATTGCCCGGAAAATTGTTTTGTGCCTGTTATTGAACCATATGTTATATTGTGATCTAATTAAGCAACTCAGTTGATGGCCCATTCTCTGCCAAAAGAGACTTGGAATATTTATACGCAGGAAACTTGTCATTATGTGGTTAGTTTTGGAAAGTGGGAGATTTACACCTTCATTAGATTGAAATGTTGGTTAAAGGATTATGAAAAATAAAACTACAAATAAGTTCCTCCAGGAAAAGTAGAAGTACTCTCAATCTATAATATAAAGAGGTTCAATTGATTGTTGTGGTACGAATGAAAAAATGAGAATTAATGTGGCCAACCCCTTTCATATGGGATTAAGATAAGGATGATGATGATGAATTGATTGACGTGGTATAGACATTTTGAAATAGAAACTTGTTCAACTGCTGTAGAGATCTTCTCGTGATCTGGCTCTAAAAGGAAAAGCGAGACAGGGATGATTTTTTGCAATATGCAATGTTTTTATTGCAAGAGACGTAATTTCTGGCTTTGACGCATTTTAGCGTCTGGTTTGGTGATGTAACGGATGAATTTTGTTAAACAAGTGCAAATATAGAAATTCCAACACTAGTTCTGGATGTTTACGTTACAACAATGTACCATTTGGACACAATAGCTGGTGGGTTTAGTATGCATATCCAACCCTAAAAACTTTTTAAAAAATCTTTTGAGGATAATCTGAATCCATTATGAGTACACATTTGCTTTTGACACTCGTAACAAAGTCAATCTTAAATAGCTTGCACCTGTCCTATATTTTACAAGAATGTGTTCTTTATTTCCATTCAATAGCTTCTGATGTTTTGACATTCTTTACTTATATTTTGGCTCAATTCTGTCAATTTATTTTGAGGTTTTTGAATGACCCCATCCCCCCATTAGCCTTTTTTATCTGTTCGACGTGCTTATGATTGTTGTGTTGTGATGGCTGTTTCCTTGAAATATTTGAAAATTCTCTTTCCACTTTCTTTAGGTAATGATACATTTGATCCGACTTAATTGGTTTGTCCCATTTCCGTTAGGGGAGGAGATCATTTCCGGAGCTCAGCGTGTCCATATACCTGAATTCTTGGCAACACGTGCAGAGGCTTGTGGAATTGAGGTGAAAACAATATCAACATATATCGATTCCTTCAGGTATACTTCTTTGTTGAGGGGTTTTCGTATTTATTCCTTAAATTTCTTGTGGTAGCTCTCGAAGTCAACAGTAGTCTTGACTTCATATCCTAGTTGGTAACCAAAATAAATATTATATCGTTTTCTTTTGCTTTGCTTTTTAAGATGACGAGATTAGTTAATATTGACGAGAAATTATATTGACAATTAGTGTTCAAAAATTTTTATTTCCAATTAATTTGTTCGAAGCTACAGTTTCTTTTATCTTTTAGGCTGAAGGTTTTTACCTATGCAACAATATGATATGTGGAATTTGTTTTTACCATTTTAAAATAAAATCAATAGTTAAAATTGGACTGGTAAATTTGGGAAGTTGGTTTACTTTCTTCTGCGTTTTTAGTTGTTGATGTGATAAAAAAACGTAAGCACCACATAACAATTCTTTCACATGCATAGGTGTTACTGTGTCTTACTCTAGCCCTGGACTTAACTTATATGGTGAACTTGTTTTTGCCAGAACGGTCATGCATCAAATCCACTTTTTTGCCCTTTTGGGTAGATAATCCTACAAATTACCTTCCTAAAACGTTTCAGTAGTCTGTAGGTTTGTACTTGGTTTCTTGGTTATTAGCAATTTCCAGTGAAGCTTTTGAGATGACAAAAACGTTTTGTGCAAAACGGAAATGGTGGTGTCCTCCTTTTGCACCATTTGGTTGTCTTCAGAAAGGATGGTATCCCGTTATTTGTGGCTTAAATTTGATTTAGTATATATGTGATGAGATAAAATACCTTTAATCAATAAAACACCTTGCACATGTGCTCTTTTGGATATATACAATTGAGTATTCTTGATTTTGCAGTTATTTTTTCCCCTTCTGTTTAGATCTTTTATTAGTGGCATTTTTTTTTTCATTTTCTTTTTCTTTTTCATTTTTTTTTTTTTTTTTTTATCCTTACAATGCCCGTATCCTTTAGAAAGTCACAGAAAAGATGATTATCTGCGAATTTTACCATTCATCTGCCACTTTTTGATGTCGTTAAAGATGCAAGAAGTCAATGTTGTGGAACATTCGAGCTTTTCCACTCCAAAGATTTGCACCTCTGATCTAATTGTTCTGTGTTGCAGGTATGGTGCACCCCCACATGGTGGGTTTGGAGTGGGGTTGGAGCGTGTAGTGATGTTGTTTTGTGCCCTTAACAACATCCGCAAAACATCGCTCTTCCCTCGTGACCCTCTCAGGATTACCCCTTAGATCGTGCCATTTTTCTGGATGTAGTGTTCTTTGAAATGTGAGGACAGATATAATATTCACCGAGAAGAGTAGTATGTTTACATTCGACTATTGATCACCTTTTCTTCTTATTCGATATCTCTATATTTTCCCCCCTGCATCTATATGGTCAGTTTTTCGTTTGCAATAATTTGTAATTCGTTAGGCATTTTCAAAGGACTCTTGGATGTTTGAATTTGTACACTTGTTGCGCTTTATGTGTGTACATGGTTCAGTTAACTTACGAATTGCGCAATTTGAAACTCTGTTTCCAATAATATGGTAGGTTAAATGATATGAAACGGAAAAGTTTTGGATGAAATGAAATAGAATAAATTAGTGTGGGATTAAGGCAGAGAGATGATGAGAGGGTATTTATTGTCCCATATATATTACATCTATGTAACTCACTTTGGTTTATCACAAAAATATTGACAGCCAGAAATCACCATCACCCTACCACGCCTTCTAAGAATGAAGTGAAACCCGTTTACAAAATATTCTCCAAGCTTTCATAAAGGGTATATATTCCGTAACAATTTGTTAAAAGCCAAAAACAAAAAAAAAAAGATAAAAAAAAGCACCATAGTCCATTATCTCCGTCAAAGTACAATGGATTAATATTTGTTATATGCAACACACAAATGCAAGTCATGGGTACGTGCGATCGATATCTCAATTCAATCAATTAGTTTTTCATCCACTTGTATTCGATCATCTTATATAAATAGTTAACAAATGGCTTTGGTTTTTGTAGAATGAAGATGGAGGTTGGGGACTACACATATATACGGGTGCAACTTGGGCGGGCTAACCCAGCCCAACCCGATTTCAGTTCAGAAATTTTAAAATTTGGACTTTTAAATTCACATATTGGGTTCAAATTGGTTTGGGTTTTGACAAACCCCAAGTTTGTTTGGATTGGGATGGGTTCAATCCGGACCCAACCCAAAACCCCAAATTAAACAATTCTACAATCCAACCCTAACTTGTCCATGCTTCTCAAATGGAAGTTTGAAGGCCTGTTTAGTTTTAAATTTTCAAATCAGATCTCAATACCACAATAAATATGTGTGTATATATATATATATATATATATTATACTGTAATATTGTAATCAGAATGACTTTTGCTTAATTGAGTTTTCAAAATTTGTGAGCCAAACAAATTTTTGTAATTTTTTTTAATTTTTAGTTGAATTAAATTAATTAATCGAGCCCTCAAACATTGCTGTTGTTTTGTTAATTGACTGGAAAAATAAAAAGACAAATCAGAAAATCTTGTTATTATTAAAAAAGAAAAAGAAAAAAAAGATAAACATTCATTTCCTTTAACTTTGGACTGCAGCTAAATATGGTGCCGTAAACATAGCTGCCTGATAGTATAATTAAATTTTTTTTTTAATATATATATATATATAAAACAAAGTACGTTTAAAAATTCGGCATAAAAAATGCAAGTCATATATGGATATAATATGAATGTTAGTGAAAATTCGTGGTATAAAATACGATAGCAGTTATATATAATATATTTAATATATTACAATAATTATTAGTTTTCAACTATTGTTTTTTATTTTAATGATATTCCAATATCAAATGAAATTAAAAGAGTTTCAAAAATAATATAAAAAATTTATAATGTTGCATATTATTGTATAGATATTTTTTTAATTACCCAAAAGAAACAATTCTTGTATTCTTTCAATTGTAATAAACAGAAAAATGGTATGCTTATGGATGTTCACATTTGCACTTCTACGTATTTATTAAGGAAAATGATAAGGTCACCGAATGATTTCCCCGAATAAGTCCCGACGGGTTTTTGTCCACCTCATCTACTTAAACAGTTTTCAAAAAATAATTGTTTAATACGTGATAAGTATATCCAACCACGTCAAATTCGGTGTTAATTCGGGAATTCCTTTTCGGTTCCCTACCATTAGTCATTTATTAAATGACAAGTATTAATGAATTGAAAAATAAAATTTTCTTAAAAATTTTGATTTTTACAAAAACATGGAAAAAGAAAAATGTAATTTGTATATTTGTAAATAAAAAAAAAAAAAAAAAAATTGACCCATTAAACCTGTCCAGCCCGTCCAAATATTTGGGTTCGGATCCATTTTTTGCAGACTTTGGGCTGGCTCAACCCAACCCGATTTTGGGTTGAGGTTGGGTTGGGACCAGGCTGGGTTGGGTTGGGCCTGCCCAACTTGCAGCCCTACTACATAGAGGATCATTGCACCTCGTTCAGTACCACACTTAGCTACATTTGCACAAGGTTAGGACCTACAAGGGCCCTATGGTGGTGAAAACATAATGTTGCTTACATATATGTTGGAATAAATATGGAAAGAAGCTGAAAGGTTTTGACGACTCCTCTCTATCTCTCTGATTTCTTTGTTCTGGTGCTTCTTTCATTCTTTCTTTCTCGGTTCTCTCTTTTCCACTTTCATGTTTTTTTTTGTTTTTTTTTTTTCAATATATATTTTGGCTTCAATATATTGTATTAGTTTTGGGGATTTGATTACATAAATAAATAAATAAATAAGAGAGAGAAAGAATGAAGGAAATAGTGGAATGAAGATACTACTGTTGAGATTGAAAGGGGTCGTCAAAACCTCTTCAGCTTCTTTCTATATTTATTTTTGTTAGGTAATTACGCGGCAATTACAAGTAAGATTTCGACTAGAAGTAGGCTAATTTGATCGAACAGAGTATTATTAACAGAGTATTGAGAAATCTCTATTGGTTCATAAAATCAAAGGAGAAAATACATACAAACGTTTATGTTTGCTTGAAGAGAAAAAAACAAACCCTAATAAGATTGAAGAAACAAAACATTATTGTCATTCAAAAATCTAAAGTTGGAGGCATGATTTGGAAGATGTTAATGTTGAGATTTGTGAAGAGGCTGAGAATAAGACTCATCCATTTTATTCTCGACAAAGAACTAGTTAAATTGGAAATCTAATGTACAAATGAAAGATGAAAATTCCATTAAGGCTTAGATTTAGATACAATATTTATGTTGTTTTATGACGGTAAACAGTTGAACTTCTATAATTGAATTGTTGGTGTTTGGTAATGTTTTTGTTTTCAAATCTTTCTTTTTGGTAAACCTTGAAACACTGATAAATAGATCAATAAGATTTCAGTTAAAAAGTTAAAGCTTTCATTGTCTTCAATTTTTCCTTATACATTGGTAAATACTACATATAATGGAAAGAGAATTAATGAATGATTCGGGAATGGCAATAATTATATCCTCTGATAAATGTGAGTTGTGTTCATCCAAGAGATTCTATTCAACATTACTTTTTGCTTATATATATAATCTGCTAAAAGATATATGATCCACTTCGTAATGAACTTTTGAAGTTTTTTATTTTTTATCTAATCAAATCCCCAAAACTGATACAATATACCGAAGCCAAAATATATATTGAAAAAGAAAAAAAAAACATGAAAGTGGAAAAGAGAGAACCGTGTGTCAGAGAGAGAGAGAGAGAATGAAAGGATGAGCAGAACAAAGATATCACTATGAAGAAATTAGAAAGATAGCTTTTAGCTTCTTTCCATATTTATTTTTGGTATCTTTAGTGCGCAAAGAAAATATCAACGATTTAGGTAATTATGCTGCAATTACACATAGGATTCGGATTAGGGGTAGGCTAATTTGATCGCATAGAGTATTATTACTCCAATAGAATGCGAGTTTTTTTACAATTCTACCAAAATATAACCAGGCCATATAATTTTAGGACGAGTCCAAATAATCAAATTTTATATCCAAATATATATATATGCACAAAATAAAAAATTAAAAATATATAAGAATAATTTTGCATTATTATTAAAAAAAATCATATTATTTATTGAAATAAATAAAATTATAAAAATTTAGAATAAAGTATAAAAAAACTAAATATAAAAATAATTTTATTCATAAAGAAGGTGAATTACAAAATGAAAGTAATATTATTATTTATTTATTATAAAAAGTAGAGGAGTGCTAATTGAAGTCGAACTCCTAATTGGTTAGAATTTTTAGAATTTCAAGCTTCTTAATTAAATGTCTCCTACTATTATGGGATATTTAAAATATAAAATTACAAGACAAAAGTGCTGTAATGACATGAATCCGTGGGTCCGAATTGCTAGCCGGGTCCTTATCCGAACCTGAAAACAATCGAGGGCAAAACGGTTAACTAGGGTGCGTAAATTAATTATATGACTCTGAATGAGTCTAAATAGCTTAACGTAAGTCATAAGAGTCATTTGAACCCATGATGCAAAGTCCTAGACCTAAGAATGAGGATTTCACACAATTGCACCCTTTGTTTTCAAGGAAATCTGGAGCAGTCCACACTAAAAAGATTATAACTCTCTCTACGATTTGAATTATTGAGTAAAATTAATTTCATTGGAAAGCATACTGAAAATGCTTGAAATTTGACTCAAGAATAAACCCATTTGGTTTTGAAACGAGAAACTTATAGCTACTCAAAGTCAGAATAAAGAAAAAGAGACAAGCAGCAAGGGAGCCGGCTCCCATTTTGATGGAACCGCCTTCTTCCTTCGAAAGAAGCCGGCTCCACTCAAAAGGACCAGGCTCCATTCATACCAAAGGAGCATGCTCTATTCCAAAGGAGCAGGCTCCATTCCAAATTTTTGACGAAATGAGGCTATTAGACTAAAAAGAATCAACTCCCAAAGGGGGAGAGCTGGCTCTCCACCTGGGAGGTCTGAAATTTGGTCACTGCAAGTGCATAGGACCTTGGGGATCTCATTGGCATCTACCATGGCTAAAAATTAAGCTTTAGACTCATTTCAAAACATCCTATAAACCTGATATTAAGGCTTGAAAATGAAAAATCCCAATAATGCTTGTAAAGAAAAGGTATGAGCAATATTCAATTTGATTCAAAATGGCTTCATGGCCTCATTATACATCAATTACAATTTACACCATGAATCCTACATGGACAAATATACATTGATTTACATGTATTAAGTACAAGTAAAAATGTTACACATATAATGTCCCAAAGCTTCAATAGAAGTCATCAAACACCCGTTAGAAACTTCAAGACAACCTCCATTTCCTGAAAAATGTTAATATAATAGGGTGAGCTCAACAGCTCAGTAGAAAAAGCCTAAAGTACATTCCTAGAAATCCCGTGAGCCGCAACTAAAGAAAAAGACATCAGAGAAAATGGATCATGGGAATATAGGC